CATATTTACATTTGAGCTAGCCCCATTACTCTGCGTCCTGTGAACATAGACATTTTTGTCTGGCTTCTGTGTCCTCAAAGGTGACCTTCTTGTTTCTCCTGGGGTCGATCCATGAGTTATGTATGACCACATTGTTTGGTGTAGGGTCAGCTTCAACAACAGACACCACCCTCTTCTTCATCTTGCTCTTCAAAACCTTTTGGAACTTCTGCCGGGTGAAGGCGTAGAGGAGTGGGTGAAAGATGGTGGTTCCATAGGCCATTACCAAGAAACCCAGGCGGAGGCGATCAGCCAGATCGCTGGGTCCAGTACTGAGGATGATGGTGTTGAGTACAGTTATTGGAGTCCAACAAAATAAGAACGTGGAAATGATGAGAAGAGACATTCTGAAGACTCGTTTCTGCCTCTCTCTTCTCTCTCGATGACGCTTCACGGCTCGTCTTAGTGCAATAATCACAGACACTGATGCCCGCATGCCCAAAGGTGCATTTCCACCTGCCCTGACACCTGTACTGCTCTGTGAAACCTCCGTTGACTCTGCTTGTGTTGCAGTGCTAAGAGAGATGGTGTTTTTGCTCTTTTGCTTCTTTTTAGGTAAGTTGTTCTGAAACCGTGTTCCAATGCGAATGTTAAGAGCCTGAAGAATCTTGTAGTAAGTCACCAGCATTACAACAGCTGTGAAAAAGAATATAGGAATCTGTGCTAGCAAGTGATAGTACAGACCCACCTCTGTGTAGTACTCATTTGTATGAGGTACAGTCACCACTATAGTCTGGTTCAAAAGATATGAACTGGATCTGATAAAGAAGCCCACTTCCATGAATGGAACGAGGAAACTGAAAAAGGATAAAGCCCAGATGGATCCCAGCAGAACCACAGCTCGGCCCATTGTAAGCACACGGTTCGCTGGACGTACTGAGATGTCATAACGGTCCACGGTGATGGCTAGGACATTAGCAGCGGTTGCTACACTCGTGAAGGAGACGCAGGCTTCGTGGAAGCAGCACATCATGGCTGTGTCCACCTCCAGTGGAATCAGAATCACCACAGTCGTCAGTGGGATGCAGCACACGCATATCTGGAAGTAGAGACGGAGACAGATGTTTGATTTTATCTCATGTATTGGTTAAAGGCAGGCTTATTGAATTTATTCTTTAATTTTTTTCCTCCAACTCCAGTTTTTATCCCTCGGCTGTAAAAGGCTGATGAGTTATTGTTGTCACCCTGCCGACCGGCAGGTGAGCGGGCAACCAACTTTCTGAAGCCGATAGCTTGAGAAAGAAGCCACGTAGGATTGTGAAATTCATACCATAGGCACAACTGTTAAACATCTCAGATCAGCTCAAATTTCAGTGACCTCGACCTAAAGGTCAAGGTCAGAGGTTTGGTTTCCTGAAAATCTTGTTAATGCAATAAGATAAGAAGGAAATCGTATCTATCTACTCTGAGGCTGAGGGGTAACACTGGCAGCTACCAGTATTTTTAATATGCATTTCTGTTAACTGTTTAAGTTTTTTCCCACAGTGTTGTTTGGTATTAATTGCCTGTATTAATCTTGGTATACCTCTGCTGCTATTGATAAACAGGAGTGGGCAGGAAGAAAAGAAACATACAGTTAAATATGACAATCAGAACTGTACACAGCCAAACTGGGGACGGTTTTTGATAAAGCCCCTGCAAACCAAAACATATGGTTTCATCTACCTGCTCAACAAAGGGTTCAGTGTCAACTTTAATTGGACAAAATGTACTGCTGCTTTCAGTCTCTGAACCTATTCACATGCTTCTAGTGGAGATGCAGATTAGGGCTGCCAAAAAGGATTATTTTGATAGTCGACTAGTCACCGATTATTTTTGCGATTAGTCGACTAATCAGATCATCATCCATTG